CAGGCCAATGTCCATGATGAACATAGATGCAAAAATCTTCAATAAAATACGGGCAAGCCGATTGCAACAGCACATCAAAAAGCTTATCCACCATGACCAAGTATGCTTCATCCAAGGGATGCAAGGTTGGTTCAACATATGCAAGTCCATAAACGCAATCCACCAAATAAACAGAACCAAAGACAAAAACCACATGATTATCTCAATTCGTGCAGAGAAGGCCTTGGACAAAATTCAACAGCCCTTTATGCTAAAAACCCTCAATAAACTAGGTATTGATGGAACATATCTCAAAATAATAAAAGCTATTTATGACAAACCAACAGCCAATATCATACTGAATGGACAAAAACTGGAAGCACTCCCTTTGAAATCTGGCACTAGACAAGGATGCCCTCTCTCACCACTCCTATTCAATATAGTACTGGAAGTTCTAGCCAGAGCAATCAGGCAAGAAAAAGAAATAAAGGGTATTTGAATAGGAAAGGAGGAAGTCAAATTGTCTCTATTTGCAGATTACATGATTGTATATCTAGAAGAAACAATTGTCTCAGCCCAAAATCTCCTGAAACTGATAAGCAACTTCAGCAAAGTCTCAGCATACGAAATCAATGTGCAAAAATCACAAACATTCCTATACACCAATAACAGACAAACAGAGAGCCAAGTCAAGAATGAACTGCCATTCACTATTGCTACAAAGAGAATAAAATACCTAGGAATACAACTAACAAGGAACGTAAAGGACCTCCTCAAGGAAAACTACAAACCACTGCTCAACGAAATAAGAGAGGATACAAACAGATGGAGAAACATTCCATGTTCATGGTTAGAAAGAATCAATATTGTGAAAATGGCCATACTGCCCAAAGTAATTTACAAATTCAACACTATCCCCATCAAGCTACCAATGACCTTCTTCAAAGAACTGGAAAAAAACACCTTAAACTTCATATGGAACCAAAAGAGAGCCCGCATAACAAAGTCAATTCTAAGCAAAAAGAACAAAGCTGGAGGCATCACACTACCGGACTTCAAACTATACTACAAGTCTACAGTAATCAATACAGGATTGTACTGGTACCAAAACAGAAATATAGACCAATGGAACAGAACAGAGACCTCAGAGGCAACACAACATATCTACAACCATCTGATCTTTGACAAACCTGACAAAAATAAGCAATGGGAAAAGGATTCCCTGTTTAATAAATGGTGTTGGGAAAACTGGCTAGCCATATGCAGAAGGCAGAAACTGGACCCCTTCCTGACACTTTACACTAAAATTAACTCCAGATGGATTAAAGACTTAAACATAAGACCTAACACCATAAAAACCCTAGAAGAAAATCTAGGCAAAACCATCCAGGACATAGGCATAGGCAAGGACTTCATGACCAAAACACCAAAAGCATTGGCAGCAAAAGCTAAAATAGACACATGGGACCTAATCAAACTCCACAGCTTCTGCACGGCAAAAGAAACAGTCATTAGAGTGAATTGGCAACCAACAGAATGGGAAAAAATTTTTGCAGTTTACCCATCTGACAAAGGGCTGATATCCAGAATCTACAAAGAACTAAAACAGATTTACAAGAAAAAAACGAGCCCATTCAAAAGTTGGCAAAGGATATGAACAGACACGTTACAAAAGAAGACATACATGAGGCCAACAAACATATGAAAAAATGCTCATCATCACTGGTCATTAGAGAAATGCAAATCAAAACTACTTTGAGATACCATCTCACACCAGTTAGAATGGCGATCATTAAACAATCTGGAGGCAACAGATGCTGGAGAGGATGTGGAGAAATAGGAACACTTTTACACTGTTGGTGGGAGTGTAAATTAATTCAACCATTGTGGAAGACAGTGTGGCGATTCCTCAAGGACCTAGAAATAGAAATTCCATTTGACCCAGCAATCCCATTACTGGGTATATATCCAAAGGATTATAAATCATTCTACTTTAAGGACACATGCACACGAATGTTCATTGCAGCACTGTTTACAATAGCATTGACCTGGAACCAACCCAAATGCCCATCAATGATAGACTGGATAGGAAAAATGTAGCACATATATGCCATGGAATGTTATGCAGCCATCAAAAATGATGAGTTCATAGCCTTTGTAGGGACATGGATGAACCTGGAAACCATCATTTTCAGCAAACTGACACAAGAGCGGAAAATCAAACGCCGCATGTTCTCACTCATAGGCGGGTGTTGAACAATGAGAACATGTGGACACAGGGAGGGGAGCACTACACACTGGGGTCTGGTGGAGGGAAATAGGGGAGGGACAGTGGAGGGTAGGGAGTTGGGGGGGATATCATGGGGAGAAATGCCAGATATAGGTGATGGAGGAAGGCAGCAAATCACACTGCCATGTATGTACCTATGTGACAATCTTGCATGTTCTTCACATGTACCCCAAAACCTAAAATGCAATAAATAAATAAATAAATAAATAAATAAATAAATAAAACAAGATAGAGATGTGATATTTAACAGTAATCCCTCCTTATCATGGGCAGGAGAGGCCTGCATTCTCTAATAGTACCTAACCCAATTGTATGGAACCTAATCAAACTCCACAGCTTCTGCACAGCTAAAGAAACAGACATTAGAGTGAATTGGCAACCAAAAGATTGGGAAAAGACTTTTGCAGTTTACCCATCTGACAAAGGGCTGATATCTAGAATTTACAAAGAACTAAATTGCTGTCAATTGCAACAGTTTCCGTGCACTTCCTTCATCCACAAATGTAATGCCTTTTCCATCCTAACTAAGCACTTACCATACACTGTGGCCATAAAATTTGCAGTTTGAGATGCAACAACAAAACTAACTTAAAATTCTTTTTTCTTCTTCACAATTTCACATACAGAGGATTTGTTCTGGCCAGGCGCAGTGGCTCACGCCTGTAATCCCAGCACTTTGGGACGCTGAGGTGGGTGGATCATGAGGTCTAGAGTTGAGACCATCCTGGCCAACATGGTGAAACCCTGTCTCTACTAAAAAAGTACAACAGTTAGCTGGGCATGGTGGCACGTATCTGTAGTCTCAGCTACTCGGGAGGCTGAGGCAGGAGAATTGCTTGAACCCAGGAGGCGGAGGTTGCAGTGAGCTGAGGTTGTGCCACTATACTCCAGCCTGGCGCCTGGCAACAAAGCAAGACTCTGTCTCAAAAAAAAAAAAAAAAAAAAAAAAAGATTTGTTCTGTTGGGCATGGTGGCTCACACCTATAATCCCAACACTTTGAGAGGCCAAGACAGGTAGATCACTTGAGATCAAGAGTTCGAGACCAGCCTGGCTAACATGGCGAAAGTCTGTCTCTACAAATAATACACAAATTAGCCAGATGTGGTGACAGGCACCTGTAATCCCAGCTACTTGGGAGGCTGAGGCAACAGAATCACTTGAACCTGGGAGGCAGAGACTGCAGCAAGCAGAGATCGCACCACTGCACTCCAGCCTAGGTGACAGAGTGAGATTTCACCTCGAAAAGAAAAAAAAAAAAAAAAAAAAAAAAAAAAAAAAAAAGATGTATTTTTAGGTAGATCTTAGCAAAGTCAGCTAAATTTATTTCTTATTAACTCGAGAACTTTCACCCTTTCACTTAAAGGAAGCACTTTATGGCTTCTTTTGGTATATCCACATTGTCAGCAACACTACTCTTGTATTGTGGGGCCATTATTAACTAAAATAAGGGTTACTTGAACACAAGCACTGTGATCGTGCAATAGATAACTAAGAAGGCTACTAAGTGACTAAAGGAAGGGCACCGTAGACATTCAGGTGATGCTGGATAAAGGGAGGATTCCCTGCCAGGGTGGACCAGAGCTTGACAGTTTGAGGTCTCATTATGCTACTCATAATAGTACACAATTTAAAATTAATGAATTATTTATTTCTGGGATTTTGCATTTCATATTTTTGGACCTTGGGTAACTAAAACCACAGGAAGTGAAATTGTAGAAAGCAAAGCTAGGATTAAGACAAAAAGACAAAACTGTTCAGCATCTATCATGTTCCCTCCTTCGCTTTTCATTTCATATGTGAGGAAGGTCACTGTGAGGTCTAATGTAGAGATCTACTAAACAAATGACACAACCATTCCCAAGAGTATAGCTACTATCTGCTGTGAATTGTATGTATCTGTGGGAGACTTAATTTCATGCAAATGTATCCTTGTTTCTCAGCATAATTCTGATGCTTCCCCCCAACTACCCAGCAGGTGAGTGGTCAGTGAACATGCCATCAACTTAATATTAGCCTAAGCAAAGCAGAAAGGTAAATTAACATATGATAAGAGTCAGAATACATTGATATTTGTTTTCAGATATAACCTGAGGAAGACTGCAAGAATTTGGGACAGGATGCCTTATAGTTAAGTGGAACAAAAGCAAGACTAGATGTCAAGAGGCTGGATCCCTATCTCATCTTATTTACCTCGGAGCTTTTGATTTCAGCAGTTATTTTATTATCCTGGGCTTCAGGGTCTTCATCTATAACATTAGAGTATAGATTACCATTAGAAGTGCCTTGAAACTTTGTTATTATTCTACATGTATCACGGAATTAATACACTTCCTGAAATTCTGTTATTATTCAATATTTATCACAGAATTAATACACTTTCTATACAGCTCCATCCCTGAGGATTTGGCAATTTATACCTTTCTGAAGTGAACACTTACACGATTTAAAGATTACACTTTTGAAGGGACGTAGAATATCTCCTTAGCCTTTAAACTATCAAAATACATCTCTTTGGGAGTGAGAGGGATCTATGAAGTTTCAGTGCTTCCTGGCAGAGGTTGAGGCTTCTTGCTTTGCCCAGCATCAGCAAGTAAATGGTGCTAATATTTGTCTTATATTTGACTAACATGATTTTTCTGATTTTTCTCTGTTCGACCCTTCAATTTGTAAAAATGTGTTTAACTGTCCTGCTGCCGCTGCTTTTGCCTGCTTTGGCCGCTGCATATACAGGTGAAGATCTGGAAAGAAATGATGGATCTACAGAAAAACCCTACTTCATCACCCCTAACCTGCACGGAATTCTGATCAAGAAGCAACTCATTCCCCAGAAACAGAAAGAGTAGAAAAGCTCCAAACAATGTCACTCATGTTTAAGTAGAAGTTGTGTAAATTAGGCTGATTGTAATTTGAAAATGTTGCTTTTGAGTAATGTGAAATTTCTGTGCTTAATTCTAAGAAGTCAGCACCTGGTACCACCTGAGGTGTCAGGCATTTGATGACATTAGCTGCTGTCTACTTTATAGACTGTGGTCCCAACTAAAGATCAAAATGTTAATGTCCAACGTTTTTTAAAATCTGTAGCCAAGAGTGTTTTAATAACTTTTATAACTCAGTGTGCTGTTTCCATTGCAGCACTTTGATAGCCTTTCTTTTTATAAGTGTATATTTGTAAAGGATATTCAGGCAATTTTTGAAAACACTATAAATGTGTAATTTATTAGCCATAAAATATTGATTTATAGTTAACCAGCATATGGTACTAAATTTGTAAATATGGTGCTATGGTTATATTTATACTGTTCAAGCTGGTGGACAACTCTCTAAACTGTGATTAAACTTGTATTAATGGTTCCCTAGGAAGTATATTTCAGTGAGTCAAGTCCATAACAAACATAGATGTTAATGTTATATAGGTTCTACAGAGAGCATTACTGGGTAAAAATTACTGTGGAACCTTCATAGCCCATTCTGTTTTATTGGAATGATGTTTATATTGAAGTCCAATCTGAGTTCTGGAGTGTCATTTCCAACATGAACCTCTGTCCATGGTGAAAATGTTCTGAACAAACTGAAATTGCTACATAACTCATGCCTTTTGTCTTTAACCCAAATTTCCTATTTCCACTATATAGAAAACCAGTATGAATTTGTTTCAGAAGAGTGATTATATCTTTTCATGAGCATACCTGTATTTCTAGATTAAAGAGATTGTGTGCTTTTGTTCTACAAAAGGCTTAATTTTGTCTCAACTTTCAGCAAGGAAAGAGAAAAGTAAAACACTTCAGATTTTACCCTAAGGAAATATATTGTGGGCCCTCATCATCCTTTATGTGAGGCATACTGCAGGTTAGGAACTCGCCCTGCAGGGCTTAGGAGGAAGGTTATGCCCATATGCCACCCCTGCTGGCCAGAGGTTTCTGGTAGTCATGCCTAAGTTTTGAATGACAGAACAAAGCATGAATCAGACACATACCTTGCCTAGCCATCCCCTGTGTGCAAATGTGTATGATGTAGTTAATGGTGTAAAATTGCATCCCAAAAGGAGCATTGAATCAATTTGTATCTTCTTGGCATTTACCTTAAGCTTATGTATAAGGATTATGTATGTATTGACAGAAAGGAACATGTTGATGTAACATGTTGCTCTGAATATCACCCATATATCCAAGAAGAGTCAGAAATGTATTATTGTGTTATAGATTGATATAAATACTTATTATCTATAAGTGTAGAAACCTAGATTTAAATTGACTCTATGGCAGATTAATTAATAGCAATAAGCCAATGAATAGGGAAGATTTTTAATATGTAATGCTGTTGCTTACATTCTTGAGATTATTGTATTCAGAAGTGTCTCCTGGCTTCACATTTTGGCAAACAGCCTTCTGCATTCTTATTCTCCTTGAAGCATAATGCAGAGAATAATGACAACTTATCTATCTAGATTATTATTATTTTATGATTCAACAAGACAAGGGCCACAACAAAGAACTAGTAGAATAGTGACCTCTACCTGAGAACTTGTTATAACTATAGATGTCTGTGCTCTGCCCAGGAGATTCTGATATATTGTGATTTGATATGAGCCACAATGTGAATTATTATAAAGTTCTCTAGCTGATTCCAATATACATAAAAGTTGAAAAATTGGCCAGATGTGGTGGCTCACACCTGTAATCCCAGCACTTTGGGAGCCCAAGCTGGACAGATTGCTTGAGACTAGGAGTTCCAGACTAGCCTAGGCAACATGGTGAACCCCCATCTTTATTAAAAATATAAAAATTAGCCAAGTGTGCTGGCACACACCTGTAGTCTCAGCTACTCAGGAGGCTGAAACGCAAGGGTTGCTTGAGCCCAAGAGGTCAAGGCTGCAGTTAACCATGATCACACCACTGCATTTGAGCCTGGGTGACAGAGCAAAACTGTCTCAAAAAAAAAGAAGTTGAAAAATCACTTGACTAAAACATAAATCAACACATGAAAGTAGTTGCCAATTTATATTATGGGCTAATATCTAGTCAGAAAAAGATTCTCCATTTACTGTTTGTTTGTGTAATTCAAATATGTAGACTAAAAATAGCATTGTTTTTGAGAAGATATTTGGAAGCCATTTTCTTAGAAAGCAAACTAATAACAAAACAGGGCAGTATTCCTCAAAACTTGCAGTCAATGGGCTTGAAATTTGAAATTTCACAATATTTATTTTTCAAGGCTGTACTATCTAAATTGTTGATGGCAAAACAAAATCAATTTTAAACAAATATAGTAATTTAGAAAGTATATTTAAATAATGAAGGTGAAAGTTATTTTCTCAATCATGCAACTGAGAGACATGCAATATTGCAGAATCTGACCTGTTGCACAGAATTAAATAATATCTTACTGACATAACAAGGGCTGATTGTTTTCGCATAACTATGTTTACAGTAACGTTGATGCTAAACTATGCTGTTTCAAAAAATAAGTATTTTGAACTGCTGTAAAGCAAGTATACAGCAGATGGCGATGTTACTTCTCTTACAGTTCTGCTTTGATATTTGTACCGTTCTTCCTCCTAGTGGAAGATTTAGAAAGAAACGATGGTTCTCCGGCAAGACCTTACTACGTGAGTCAACCTCTGCTGAAGATTTTCAACGTGGAAAATCCACAAACTAAGAAGCAGTAGAAGAGCAAAGTGGTCGTCCTACAGCTGTGTGTTACCTTTTCTCTATCTGCTGTGTCTGTGCAACATTTGTTTCATAAGTGCTTTGTATTTAGCAACACTGTATTCACGACCTTGTTGGCTTGCATTTGCATGTTTTATACCAAAGCTTATACTGTAATATGTGAAGCCATCAGAAGTCGCAAGGGAATTGTTGATAACATAAAACATTTTTATACTAAGATCATTTGTTTTGTAATTCATTTTTAAAGAGTGGCTTGGATGTTTTGAAAATACTACTGAATATGTTAATATTCTTTTAAATCTTAGATTGAAAATGATACATTATTTAAATTGATAGCTCCTAATATATTTTTAAATTTACAACTAAAAGACTTCTTCTGCAGGGAAAATTGGTCAGCAAAGTGAAATTAAAAATGTTAAAGCATTTCCCACTCTTGTTGGACAGTAAATCAGTTAAAGGACTGCCCCACTTCAGAGTTTGCTCTCTTTAAGTATAGAATGTTTCCTATTAAACAAATTGCCAATCATCCAGCCTTTACTACTTCGCCCTCTGACAAAGTGCCTTACTGGCTGTTTAATATTACCCAGCTTTTATGGGCAAGTTTACAAACATTGTTAAAAAAAATTTAAAACCTGCAATGTTTAGTTATTAAAACAAGTCTTATTGCATTTGTTTCACTCTTAGCTCACCGATTGGAAACAATTTGCCATTTTGCTCTGTTGGATAACCTATTATAGAATACATTGTGCAGCTAAACAATTTCCCTTGCGCCTAGTAGACATTCATGAATGTGTACTACACACAAGAAGAAAAAAAACAAACCCTGAAAGAACACTTGGTCGGGTTTCTTTGTTTTTTTACTAAAAGAGAAGTTTAAAAATGAAATGTTTTCTATGGTAGATCTTTGAAAATACAATAGGTATAATACTGCATTTCTCCGTGTTTTACAAAGATCAGAAAGGGAAACTTTACTCCTCGAAAGGGTGCTCATGGATGTCATGTACTGAATAGCTCCCTTTTAAACAATCATTTATTTTCATCGAAGCCTATTCTATATATGCCATTTCATTTTCTAACCTTTGGTATGAAATAATCAGTTTACTTACAATATGCTAATTTATTGTGCAACTATAAACAGGAACATAATTTCCAAGTCAGTTTTAAATAATTTGACCAGTACTACTAACTTTTAAGGAAATTAATTCAGTTGGTTACTCAGTGTTACAGAAAAAGTCCATAAACATATTAACCCTAAGAAAATGTCAATCATATAATGATAATTTGTGAAAGCTTTGAGAATCAATCAACAGTAAGTTACTATCAGTTTATAAAATATTATCACATTTGTTTAAATGTGACTTTACATACTTTTATGCCAAAAATAAACTCACATGAGCACATGACAGTCTGAGCTCTATAATCGGTGTGCTTCTGCTGTGCAGAAATGTTAGAAACGTATTGTCTAAATATCTTTGATAAGTAAAATATTTAATATATAATGAAATTTGTTGTTACTCATTGTTTTAAATCGATTTGTTTTTTTCTTTTAATAAAGATTTAAATAAGAAATAACTGTGTTTTGATTTCTTTAAGCCACAAAAAGATAAAGGCTTTTGTTTTCACAATCCACTATGCTACGACAGTATCTTCTCTGTACCAAATATCTGGGGCGGGGGGGGGGGGTTAATTTTAAACTAGATTTATCTTTTTAAAATTTCCATTTTTCTCCAGCTGTGGATGGACAAATCAAATAACTAAAACTAATAATTTATACAAAGTAAATAAGTCAAAACTAAATGGATGAGATACTTTTTTAAAAAAAACTCAAACAGCCTAAATTAGGCAGTTGCTCTTTGTTTTTATTTGCCAAAGCTTTGCTCAGTTCTTCATTTGGTTTTGTGAAAATTTATAGGAGGAAAATGTCATTATTTTCTAGGCAGGTATACATTTAGAGGCCCTGAAGAATGTGAACGCCAATTAGTAGTAGTTTCCTAAAGCAAGATTAAACATACCTATCACCAATTTATCTTAAGCTAAATTTTAAAACAAATATATGGGTGTCTTTTCTTAGATTGAATTATATGTTAAATCTTCAAAATTAATTTTCCTTTAAAATTTATGTATTTATTTTAGATGGAGCCTTGCTCTGTCTCCCAGGCTGGAGTGCAGTGTGGTATCGACACTCACTGCAGCCTCCGCCTCCCAGGTTCAAGCTGTTCTCCTGCCTGGGCCTCCCAAGAAGCTGTGACTATAGGCACCCACCACCATGCCCAGCTAATTTTTGTATTTTTAGTAGAGATGGGGTTTTACCATGTTGGCCAGTCTAGTCTTGAACTCCTGAACTCAGGTGAGCTGCCTGCCTTGGCTTCCCAAAGTGCTAGGATTCCAGGCATGGGCCACTGAGCTTGCCCCTAAAATTTAAGGGGTTTCTTTCAATAAAAACATTGAACAATGATCTTGCAGTTTTCAGTGTTCTTTTAAAATAACACGTTAATAAGACAATAAGATTATAAAATATTTTATTCATATAGCTGATTCTTTTCTTATTTGAAATAAAAATACTTTTTATATTTTTCCAGAAGAAAACCAAATACTTTTTTATGTCTTAATCACTACTACTTTTACATGGTAAAGCACTCATGTTGGTAAATAAATGATATATAATTGTGCAGGAATTAATTTGGCTTTTTCTATGTGCCTAAAAAGCTTAAAAAGAGTTAGTGTGTCTATATAATAAAATCACACTATGAAAGGTTCTATGGGATCATTAGGGACATTGTGATTATTACTTAAACTGATACTGGAAAACAGGCTCTATGTAACAATTTCTCATTTTTCTTTTTCGTATACAGCTGACCAGCACTCATTCCAATGTATGTTCTTTCACTTTTGCAAGTGGTGCCTCAGGAAATTGCTCTTAAACTCTAACCAGGCATAGTAATTATCTCCCATATTATCTGGTTCTGGATTGGGGAACATGCTTTATAAATCAGTTTTTGTTGGCAAAAGATATGGGGACAAATTTGAACTGAAATCATTATTGCAGACCATAGTGTATGAAATGACATCTTAACGCTTTTTCCAGTTTCTTGAAAATGTTAACCTTAGATGTATGCAAATGATTGTTTTATAATAAGATATAGATATATGATTATAAGAACACAATTCAATAAATCATTAATGAAAAAATCAATATAGCAGATGCACGTTCCATTGATATTAACAACTTTGTGTCTTATAATCTAATTATCTAGGTCTAATGAAGTAAATAAAAAACAAATATATATGGCTATATATATATAGCAGAAAAATATACATATCTGATTTTTTTATTTATTTGAAAATTATTTTTTCAAAGTTACTTCCCATATTAAGGCTATAATGGGCATTAAAGACATTTATCTCAGGAACTAGCTGAGTTACTTCTGGTTATTAGTGAATCAATCATCATCCAGAAAACAAAGCCAACCCCCATTAAAACAAATGTGAATTCATTCATTCATGGATATTGAGTATCATTTATTCAAGGCTTAAACAACAGAATGATGTCACCATCATGAACTCTATTAAAATGTATCAGGTCAAACTAACTGCCCTTTTCCCCCATTTACAATTTTGCAATTGCTTGGAATGAAAGGCAGCCAAAATGTGTAGAATCTGGCAACATCTTCTGTCATGATTTCTGCACTGGGGAAATGGGGGCTGTTATGTGACAACTTTAAAAGCAAGCAATTCAGTTTTACTATTTGAAGTCACTAGCTTTATTTTCTTTAAATTTAACTCCTTGGTTTTCTTTTTCTTTTGTCTTTACTGTATGAATAAGAATAATTTAAGCAAGTGGGAAAATTGTGAATGCGAGTAAAACACCCTTTTACCACTGGCTCAAAAACGTGATATATCGTCATCTTCCGTCGCTTTGCAGTTACAGAGCACAGTATGTTAACAAAGGTGGGAAAGGCTTATCAAAAGGGGAAGATGTTTTCATTCTACATATAAATTAACATGGAGCCCGAACTTTATCAATTTTAGAATAACCTTGGAATCTCCACATTCTTCTAGGCAGATGAATGTGCACTGACTGCTGCATGTGTGTCTGCACAGAAAGAAGAAAATGAAGGTAGGATGTTGGGAAAAGCATTGCTATCCAGGGAGAAACTGGAAAACCTAAAACACAAAAATTTCTAGTGGGATCAAAGAAGGCAATGTTACAGGAAGTGGGGTGCCTTCTGAATGCAATTCATAAATCTATTGAAAAGGAAACTCAGTAGCAAATCATAAACTAGTAATTAAGCAAATAAAAATATTTTTC